ACTAAAGGACGTGCCCGGTCTCCTCTCCTCTCCTCTCGTTTTCTGGGCTCCCTGCACACAATACTTTCCCTTCCCGCTTCCTTCTGTCAGGGCGGTGCTCTGGGAAAGACCCCAGCAAAGGGGGGAGCAACACCTGGGGCAGCCTCTGGGACACTCGTGCACAGGCGGTGTCCACGGCTGGCCTGGGGCTGGCCGCCTCTACCATCACTGCTCACTGCTGCCGCCTCTCCCCTGCAGCCCCCCAGTCAGCCCTCAATCCGATCCCACTGAGGCCTTCAGGAGAAGGGAAAAGAATCACTGCAGGTACCGAGGCACTGGATGAACGGGTGTTCGGATTGGAGGACTTGTTAACTGAGCACTACAGGAGCACTGAGTTCCCAGATCTTGGGTCACAGGTTACTAAAAACAACCTGTTAAGATAACTAAACTGACAAGATTTCCAGGTCCCCTAACATTCTGTATCTAATCTCTCCCCAACCCCAATCCCATTTGTGGCTCTAAATGTCCACCTTCCTTGAGCTTTGATCACATTCCCACTATCAGGCCTGCCAACCACTCCCTGGGGTGTCTGGAATTAGAGTCACTTCTTATTCTGCTTTGCAAAGCCCTCTTCAACCTGGGGTCTATTTATCTTTCTAGTCCCACTTCCTCCTGCTCTGCCACACTTGTCTACTGGCTGACCCCTCACACAGCTTTGCTCGTGTCAGAGCAGCAGCTCCCCATCTTTATCCATTAGGTCCCAGGCAGGCCAAGAACCTGCCTTTTCACGACGCATTCCCTGATTGTGCCAAATCAAAGTCCCTGCCCGCTCTTCCAACTCCCCACAGCAGTCATCGTCACCGTCTCACTATTCCACTGTCTTCACAGGAGTTAGCCTCCCCTGCTCCGTTTCCATCTCCTCATGCACAGCAGCGCTCAAGACGTTATCTGCTGAATGAATGACAATATACCAACCAAAGCAGTGACGTCCTACCTGTCTTGGTACAAGCCTCTGCTGAGGGAGCAGCTGATGAACCTGCTCAGAGAACAGGGAAGAAACGGCAGGGAGGATAAGGGGCAAGACCCTCATCAGCTGCTTCTGCAAAATGGCCAAAGGTTTTTAGGAAGGATGAGTCCAGAGCAAGAGGCAGAAAGGGAAGGACCTGCATGGCAGGCCAGGCTGTGGTAGGAAGGGTTCAGGGGCAATGGTGCCGCTGGAAGAAAGATCCCAGCCAGGAGAGAGGTTAGGTCAGAGTGAGCCCTGGCCTTGGAGGGGAAAAGGAGGGCTTTATAGGAAGCAAGAGGGCCTTGGAGGTAAGAAGGTTGTGGTAACAGGACAGGCAACAAAAGATGTTTTTAGTAGCAAAATATGACAGAAGAGGGGAGAGGAAGGCAGAAGGACAAGCCACTGTCAAAGACAAGCCAAAAAAAAAACTGATCTGTCTCACTCTCTCTGGGCTAGAATCTGGACCAGCTTCTCAGACGCAGGCAGCTTTTGAAACTTAAAATGCTTTTCATATATGTTTCTGATGGGAAATAAAACTGAGAAGTGCTTTTATGAGGCTACAGGGATTTGATCTAAGAAATTCTCTTAGCCTACTTCTCTTTGAAAACCAAATGCCAATGCCAGTTTGAAAATCCTCAGCATTCTAGAAATGAGAGACTCTGGACTGGAAGGACACTCAAAAGGTCATCTGGTCTCTCTCAGCCTCAAGCCTGGACTGCATGCTGCGTCTTCCCAGAAGAAGGAAAATCTGTTTTGTAAATAAGTCCTTTTGTGCCTTTTTTTTTTCAGACTCCATGTATGAGTGGTATCATATGGTATTTTTCAATTAAAAAGAAAAAAAGATTACAAATGAGAGGCTGCAGGGAAAAAAAAGAGGAGGAGAATCTGCCCATGGCCACACGTAAGCCTCTGGCAGGGCTCCGCTCAGGGCCCCGGGCTCCTGGAACCCCTTTCACTAGTTACACCACGGTCTAGCGATCCTTCTTGGACTCCTTACGGGCAGGTGAAGGCTGTTTTCTCAGGGAAGCTGGAAAACAGCAGGTCACCACCACTTACAAGGAAGAAGAATCTTATACCAACAGAGAAACTTCTGACACGAAGTCGTCCCTCCTGCAGGATGACTGGCCCTTTAATTAATGTTCCCACAAGTAGCTGCTGACATTTTCCTGTTACGTTACAAATTCCTCATCTCCTAAAAAAGTGACTACACCGTGAAACACAACATTTGAGGGAAGGGTCTTTTCAGTTTCCAAGAATGAGATGCCCTCAAAGTAGCAAAGCAGAGTAGGTAAGAGCACAGACAGAAAATTCAAACACATTTGGATTCCTTTTTTTTTAAATTAACTTTTTATTATGAAAAAATTTAAATATACACAAAAGTAGGTAATACAATGAACCCCATGTACTCACCACTTATGTTTAATAGTTACCAGCTCATGGCCAGTCTTAGCTTCTCTAACTCTACCTATTCTCCCAACATCCCTCTCCCAGTATAATCTAGAAACAAACCTCAGATTACACATCATTTCATTTGTAAATATTTCAGTTTGTATCTCCAAAAGATAAGGACTCTTAAAACCAATCCATCATACCAAAATCACACCTAAAAACACAAATAACGGTAAGTAAGAAAACTCTGGATTTGATTCCTGAAGTTGCCCCCTGCAAACTGCATGCCTTTGAGTGGGTAAGGAGCAGAAAGCCCCCCAGCACCTGGTAAGAGCCCTACTGGCAGGTACCCTGACTTCTGCCTGTTTACACTATGATGCCAAACTCCCACCTCAAGGAATCCTCACTGCATTTGCTCTGAGTTCCTGGCAGAGCAGCACACTCACTTTCGGTTGTGCTCCTCACGCTGACCTCAGCGGAATGCACTCAGTTTCTCAGCATCCCTCTGAGTTACCGAGGTAATTCTGCGTCCATCTTCACAAGGGACATTAGCATGTGATGTAGACGCAGAGCACACAGCTGCCATTTGGCTTCACAAGAGGTGGCAGGGCTGGCTCTTCAGCCTGTTACACTGGAGACAAAGGGCAGTGGGGGTTGTGGGTCTGGGTGGCCGATCCTACTTGGAGCGAGTGGTACACGGCCTCACTCGTTTCTAACTGTGGTCTGGGAGAAGGCCATGTGGCCTCTGGAGACCAGAGAGGTGACAGAGGCCCTTCTCATTCTCTGTATGTTTGCCTCAAATTCAGGAAGGACACCGAGGAGTAAAAGGCCATTTACATTTCTCAGCCACCATACAGCAATCGGAAAATGACCTTGAATTCAACAGTAAACACAAGAAATTCCATCCAGTGGCAGCTTTAGCCTAGGCTTCACTCCGACTTTGCCTGATGCTCTGAAAATACCTCTTTGCTCCTGCTTCCCTTGCCCACATTCCTCCTCCCTGACAAAGACACCCACGGGGACACAGGGTGTTTTCATGCTTGTGTTATTACCATAGCAACAATTTCTCTTCTACCTGGGAGGCTAGAAGCCCTGCAGTACTCTGTGCTGAGAATGCAAAGAGGGGACACTATTGCTTTGCACTCCAACACACACACATGCACCACACACACACCCCTCCCTTCCTCAAGGACATCACAATGAGCATCACTAAAACAAATTAAGATACTGACACCTAGTAACACACAATTAGTGTAAAGACAAAAAGGAGGCAAATGACTATAAAAAGATATTTTGTAGATTATCAATTCTTGAGGGATTTTTAATGTAAGATTCCTAAAGACTTTGAATCAAAATGCATCTTTCCTCTGATGAGGCCACAGGCACAGAAAAACACATTATTTTACCAAAATTTCTAAAGGCACTAAACAAGCAATGTGTGGTTTCCAAAAAAAGAGGCACTCAAAGCTTCTGATCCCCTCATGGTCTGTGAACAGGGTTAGGCTGTGATGACTCTGATAAGCAATGGCTAATGGTGGCCAGAAAAACCATGAAAAAAGGTCAGAATTTCTATTTTAATAAAATGCCCACAGAAATCTATTAGTCCACAGTCTTTTTAAGTACTGCAGAAAGTGTATTTTAGTAGAGACTAAAACAACAAAAGACAGACAAGGAGGTCGGTCCTTTCGCTGTAAGGACAGTAAAAGGTGAACAGCCCCAACCCCCATGCCTCCCTGATGCACTGGGGTAGGGGTGATGGTCAAGGCTCGAAGGTCAGTGCCCTCCTAGGAAGACAATTACTAGTGAATCACGGAGAAGAACCACGGATTTTCTTTTTTAATCTTCTCTTTGTGACTAATTCTGACTTCTCCAGCAAAATGTGTGATTGTTTGTGTTTCTAGGCCCTTCCTACACTCATCTCTTTGAGTTATCATTCTCTGAGATGCCAATCCTTCTGGATATGTATTAAAAAAAAAAAGAAGAGAGAGAGAAACCCGAGAGAAGGAGACACAGCAGTGTTGTGGACCAGGCAACTGAGACACAGACAGCAAACCCAAGGGCAGCCTTCTTAGACACAGCTCTCCCCAGAGCAGCATGGGGTCCTTATCTGAACCTGAACACAGTGGGCTGAAGTGAGAACATTTCTTACAGAACACATTGGTTAGCAAAAAATTTAGCTTCAAAAATCTATCTCCTTTCCCCTGGGGTATGCTAGTAAGAAATGAGTTTTTTGAGAACATGATTTGAAAAATTAAAGTAAGTGAGGAGCCCTCTTTTGGTCCCGTGATGGGACTACACATCTGTCTACTTTAGGGGAACTCTGTGCTCTTGCAGTAGCAGATTTTACAAACCTGGGAGAGGTTCCCCCTTTCTAGGAATTCCTTTCTTCACCTGAGCCTGCACTGCACCTGTGGGCACGGTCAGCATCAGGCTCTGCCTTCCTCATGCGGGCAGCTGCAGTTTACTGACTGAGGAAGGACTGGGCAGTGGGGTAAGCACTGCAGCTGCATCATGTCATTTAATAACCCCCTTCCCTCCGCTGTCGCTTTATTGAGATACAAGTGACATGCCATTCACTTTTCACAAAAACTCCCATGGGACAGGTACAACTGTTCTTATTTTACAGGTATAACGTGGCTCAGAGAGATGGCGTATTTACCTTAGATCACAAAGCCAAGAAGTAGAAGAGCTGAAATTAAAGCGTGAGCAGGTTTAACCACAAAATCCCTGTCCTAACCACTATGCCCGACTGTCTCCTTAGCTGCACCACAATCAACAGCCATGGATTTCTTTGCTGTCTACAGCCTCATGGTATCCAGTACAGGGCTGGACCCAGAGCAGTGCACCGATGAATACTTCTCATGTAACTGGCTTCAGAAAGAACTCTCAAAACAGACAACTTACTAAAAAAGCCCAGCAAAATGACTTGTCCCAAGCAACACTGATGTCACAGGAGAAATGCAAAGCTTCATCCTGATCTGAACAGAAAGTTCTGTCATTTGTCTCCTAGAAGGTGGCAACATTTTAACCAACTAAAGCAGCTTTACTGAGGGAGAAAAGCAGCACTGGAATGTCCTCTGGGGGCAAGATAGAGTGATGCTCATTTCCTAGGGGTGAGGGAAGTCGCACAGGCTGCTGCTCAGTCCTCAGGCCCCTCTGAGTCCACGATGACAGCTCAGTGTCTGGACCACCCTGGTTCTGAAACGTACTCCACCACCTGCCGAAAAGTCAGCAGTCAACTTGTGAGAGTTCCAAGGGGAGAAATGTGAGGGGCTGTGCAGCTCTGGGAGGATGCAGGCATGACGGTGCTGCTCGTGCCCACCTACCAGCCCCCTGCATCCTCCAAGGCAGGCGGGGGGAGGCAGCCTCACCATTCAACACCCGACAGCAAGGGACAGAGAATGAAATACAGGCAACGCTCAGAGATGTCATGGGTTCAGTTCCAGACCACCGCAAAAAAAAAAAACTGAATAGTCAATAAAGTGAGTCTTGTGAATTTTTTTGGTTTCCCATTGCATACAGAAGTTAGGTTTACACTATTCTGTTGTCTATTAAGTACACAATGGCATTATGTCTAAAAAAAGGTATATACCCTAATTAAAAAAAATTTATTGCTGAAAAATGCTAACCATCACCTGAACCTTCAGCGAGTCATCTTTTTGAACTAGCAACATCAAAGATCAATGATCACAGATTATCGTAACAAATATAATAATAATGACAAACTTTGAAATATTGCGAGAATTATTACCAAAACGTGACACAGAAACACAAAGTGAGCAAATGCTGTTGGAAAAATAGCAACAAAAGACTTGCTCAATGCAAGGTTGACATAAACCTTCCATTTGTTAAAAAAAAAAATTTCACAGTATCTGTTAAGTACAATAAAATGAGGTATGCCTTGTAAGAATACGAACTCTTTCTGTATGGTTGAGAGGAAGCAAAAATAAATGTTTTATTCATACTGGCATTTCAGTTTAACACATGCATATTTTTACCTTTCCCTATTTTGGGTAGATATCTATCTGCTTTTTAAATAAATACTTCAAACAACAGCAAAGGTGGTATTTATTTGACTTTCATTGGGACGGTATGGTGGGAAGAGGTAAGCAATATTTGCCTTTTGTTACTTTTATTCTTCTTGGAAAGACACAAACACACACTCTTAATTGAAAGACCTAGTTTCTCAAAAAACAATGTTTGATGTGTTAAGATCACATAAGGAAGTGTGTATAATTATCAACTAAAGTCTTTTAAGGACTGAGAAGCCTATAATGAACAGACTCACTATGCTGTTTACTACGGGGAATTTTAAAAAGTAGAAACTGATAAAAACATTAAGACAAAAACAGATTTAAATCCTGAAACCTTGCTCCTACAAGGCCAGATTTGCTCAGTGCTGAACGGGAGGATGGCTCACAGGGATGGCATCTGGGATCCACTCTGGGACTGTTTGCGGCAGGGAGGCCTCACTTGGGCTCTCAGTTCCACCAGTTTTACCTCGGCATCCACTTCACAAAGTGGCTATTGGGACTAACAGGAGCCAAGGGCCCTGCAAGGCAACTGTCTGGCACACCTGTGTACCACTGCAGCCTGAGGTCTTAGGCTGTTCAGCCAGAACTCTAGGGCTCTGAAGGAAGTGACTCACCTTGAGAGAGGTAGGGGCAGCTGAATCCCTGAGAAGGAATTCCCACCCCACCCCACTTCTTTTGTGGACTTGAATTATGCAGCATGGACTTCTACGCCAGTAAATGAGCCCTCGTTTGGGGACTTAAAAATCTTGTTACTCATAGACATTTGGTTCTTCTCAGCATTACTTCCTGAATAAAAGTCCTTCCTGATAGTGGGAACAAGAGGATCAAGCTTCATTCACATCTAGATAAATGTAAAGGCCTGTGCTCAGCACAGGAGTCAGCTGACTGGCTGGGCCTCAAATTATAATGCTGCTAATAAGTGCCAACCGTCCACTGTCACAGCTGGAGCTGCCCTGGCACTGACAGCTGGTCCAGATTCATTTACATTCCCTTCATGCAGCCATTCAGCTACTGTAGGCGGCTGCAGATGCCTGTTTTTTAGCAACAAACTGGTTCATTGCAGATGTGAATTTTGGTTATATTTCACTGCTGAAGAGTCTAACATTGAATGCTACCAAGGATAGGATGGGGCCTGGCAAGGGTGGAAAAAGATGAGGAAGGAAGAGAGTTGGCAGGTGAGAGAGATACATAAAAACAAATATAAGTGATACTGGGAAAAGATGAGTGGTTACACAATCACACTCACATCCTCAGGCTCCACTAAAAAACACCAAACTAGGTGTTCTTCACAGTTATTCTGACTAAAGTCTCACCACCCAATGGTCTTCCTTTCTTAGCACTTACTTCATGAATATTCTTAAACCTCCACCTTGTGGCCCCGGCTAACTTTCCAGAAGGCTCTATTTACATACCTCTGAGTTTATGGAGCAAAGCTACGGTTCTAGACAAGCAGAAAGAGACTCAGCAGGGAAATTTCTGACCCTAAAAAGTATTCCAGAAGCATGCCTTTCAAGTCTCTTTTTATCTAATACTCTGCAGTCCCATACCAAACACATCTAATTCGTTCCTAAAAGCAGCATGTTGAAGACAAACTGATGCATCCTTTACCTGAGAACACAAAGAACACTGAGGGCCATGACAAAGGCATTACACCATATCAATGAAACAAAGACCCCCCATTTCAAAGATGTAGTGCCTCATTCTTCAGGGGTTTCAGGGGAATGATTACACACGTTTAAGACCTCCTTCAGATAATGCATTGATATAAATGCCTTATCTCAGAGTGACAAGTTCCTGGAAATCTAACTGCAGTTTAGATTATTGGCCATGACACTGCAACGAGGAAGCAGATGCCCTTAGTCTCACAAGGGCCAAAATTAGCTTGTGGCTCATTTCTTGAACATTAGGAATCCTCAAGGACTAACAGTTGGTTTTGCCATCTAGCTAAAGGGAAAGGATGTCGTAAGTAGAATGTGTACCAGTGAAAAAGGTAAAA